TTTTTGTATAATATGTCTCTATTTGGTTTAACAATAAATCAAACTCCAATATCCAAAACTTACCCCAGAACGATCCATCTTTTTTTAATTTGGATGCGATTATTTTGTACTTACTCAATAGTCAATATTTAAACTAAACCAAAAATCCAAACACATGATGAAAAATATACGCTGATCCATCTTTGTAATTAGCTATTTTTAGTTCCATCCTTTGTTTTAATTGTCTTTGTTTTAAAATTCATACAAATATTTAAACAGCTTTTCCACAAAAAAGTGCCAAACTGATCTCAGCGTTGATGTGAATTTAATGGATTAAAATAAAGCAATGATTATTTTCCGCCTCACTTCAGAATTCCAACAAAGACTTTTGCACCAACCTGCATACGACAACTCAGCTAGCCAGCACTCTATATTTACTAACATGTAAATACTAAGAGCTTTCTGTGACATGAGTGTTTATTTTAAGACTAAGAGAAAAGCAGAATGAATATTTAAAGGCATTTCATGGGGGCCGAATATGCAGGAGAGCACAACTACATCACCGTAGAGCACTTTTGCGTGCGCAGTAGAGAATGTAAACTTTCCTGACATGTATCAACAAGGAGATTTATTTTTGTCTGCGTCCAGCCGTGAAACAAATCTCCCCAAAAATACAAAGCCGCACAAATCCAGATCTGAACCCACACATGTGCCTTTAAACAAACACACACATGAGCTCAAAACAAAAGAGTCTGTCTGTACAAACACACAGATCCAGGGTTTATAAAGGTGCTAACTTGAAAACCTAGACCACCTTATTTCTTCTATTCACAGCGATCTGCTAATTTGCGTCATCATGCGTGCTCTTATCTTGAATTGAAATTGTCAGAACGGTAATCAAACATGCATTTGTCCAGGAGCATATAAGTGCTTTGCGGGAACACAAAGCAAGACTGCTTCACTGCTCAGAAACTGCCATTCAGGCACACAAAAGCAAAGGAGCAGAGCTTTGTGCTGCACAAGCCTGACAGAAAGTGCTCTGCGCTCCACGCATGGCCATCAGTCCAAAACCCTCACGTCACGCATCACATTAGAAACAAAGACAGAGAGACAGTGACATGTGGAGTCATTTTATACACCCTGCAGCAGGCTACTGTAGAGGAGACAGGTGTACTGCTGTAATGTTTTACTTTATTACTGCTGAATTTGACTAATACCAAAAATTATACCTACATACAGTACAATACATCTCCAACCATTTAATCTCGCAGCATAAATGAATACACCCATTTTAATAATGAATTATTTTACCTATTTCTCTGTGTATAGGTATTATACACTCACTTTATTAGGTACACCTGTCCAACTGCTTGTTAACACAACTTTTTATTCAGCCAATCACATGGCAGCAACCCAATGCATTTAGGAATATACACATGGTCAAGACGATCTGCTGCAGTTCAAACTGAGCATCAGAATAAGGAAGAAAAGTGATTTAAGTGACTTTGAACGTGGCATGGTTAGTGCCAGATGCACTTGTCAGAGTATTTCAGAAACTGCTGATCTACTGGGATTTTCATGCACAACCATCTCTAGGGTTTACAGAGAATGGTCCGAAAAAGAGAAAATATCCAGTGAGCGGCAGTTCTGTGGGTGCAAATGCCTTGTTGATGCCAGAGGTCCGAGGAGAATGGCCAGACTGGTTCAAGCTGATATGAAGGCAACAGAAACTCAAATAACCACTCATTACAACTGAGGTATGCAGAAGAGCATCTCTGAACGCACAACACCGGGTGCCATTCCTGTCAGCTAAGAACAAGAAACTGAGGCTACAGTTCACGCAGGCTCACTAAAATTAGAAGATTGAAAAACGTTGCCTGGACTGATAAGCCTCGATTTCTGCTGTGACATTCGAATGGAGGGTCTGAATTTGCATGGATCCATCCTGCCTTGTATCAACAGTTCAGGCCTGTGGTGGTGGTTTAATGCTGTGGGGAATATTTCCTTGGCACACTTTGGACTCATTAGTACTAATTGAGCATTGTGTCAACGCCACATCCTACCTGAGTATTGTTGCTAACCATGTTCATCCCTTTATAACCACAGTGTACCCATACAATGAGTTCACTATGCTCAAATGGCCTCCACATTCACCAGACCTCAATCCAGTAGAGAACCTTTGGGATGAGGTGGAATGGGAGATTTACGTCATGGATATGCAGCAACAGCGTGATGCTATCATGTCAATATGGACCAAAGTCTTTCAGGAATATTTCCAGAACCTTGTTGAATCTCTGCCATGAAAGATTAAATTAGTTCTGAAGGCAAAAGGGGGTCCAACCCGGTACTAGTAAGGTGTATCTTATAAAGTGGCCATGTTGTGATGCATTTAAACAAAACAGATTTAATAAACAGATATATTTATTAAAATAATATTTAGGTCACCAAACATATTTAGAAATAGAATGATAATACATTTAAGTAATGCAAAATATTGCACAAAAAAGACAAGTTTTAACAAAATTGTATATATTTATACCAATGATTCTTCCTCTAACATTCACATTTTGGCGATGATTTTTTTAGGTCATTATTGTAAGTTACATTTGTTAGATTAGCTCCACATTTGGCTTCAGTACTGACCAATCTAATGTATTCAAAATATAATATGGTAAAGCATCCTATAGATAATATTAATGTAAATTAGAGATTTGTGAGGGGTGTACTCATATATGCTGAGCACTGTATGCAACAGTAAATGTGTTAACAGTATTTTTCACTGCAAATTCTTTCCATTTAGAAATATTTTAATCTTTTAAAGAATTTTTTATTAATTATAATTAAATTAATACATTAAATTAAAAATATTTTTCTGAAGGACTTTTCGATAGTATTTAGACGCATAGAGTAGACACATACATTTATTTTTAGGATAAATATTATAGTTTAATATGTAAAATAATAAAACATATTTTTTTGCAAATTATTGAAAAGTTTAATACAAAAATTAATTCATTTATTAATAAAGACAAAAAAGTATATATATATATATATATATATATATATATATATATATATATATATATATATATATATATATATATATATATATATATATATGTATATATATATAAGTAAATATAATTATAAATTATATATAAATTATTAAATTATTATATAAATTATTAAATTATTATTATGTATATTTATTAATATACATAAATTATGTATATAGTAAATATAATATAAATAACATTTTTTAATAAATGTTTTAGTTTTTTGTCTTTTATTAGATAGGCAGTGCACACTGGGCTTAAATGTATACATTTTTTTATATAAATGTATTTGTGTATCATTAATATTTCATAATAAACATTGCTCCAAAGCTAATTGTTCATTCATTCATTTTCCTTTGGCTTAGTCCCTTAATTATTAAAGGGTCGCCAAACCATCCAAAGCTAATTGTATTTAATTATAATATTATTATTATTATTGAATAAAACTATTGAAAAAATCCCTCTAGTCAAAAATAAGTTTTACATTAATTAATAAAGAGCACAGTCTTTAAATGTCATGAATAATGTAATAAATAAACATTAAATAATCTTTCCTCGATCCCCCCGTGATGTAACAGACAGACGCAAGCTCATCTGAAAAAAGAGGAGCGCAGAACCATTCACAGCCCACACAGCCCTGCATTACCTGAATCAACCTGATATCCAGCTATATATACATGCATCTATCTGTTCTGCCCCTTACAATCCATTAACCTCTGTCAAACGACTGGCAACACATCCCTCCAAACAGGCAGCAAGCAGAAAAAGTGCAAATGCATCACTTTTTCCCCCCAATCTACTTTACAGAGCAAAAAAAAAATCATAATAATTCCTGGGCTAACAACTAATGGAGCATAAATGATGCTGTGGCTGATGATGACAGTGATTCATCTATGAAAAGTTCAGCCGTACATTAAGAAAGCTTGATTGGAAATGATCATCGAGCGCTCTAAAACCACAGGTCAGCATGTGTTGCCCAGATGTTCCCAGCTAATTTGGCTTCTTAAACTGAGTGGATTTCCAGCGGCACCATGTGTTCATGAGTTCCTGCTTGACCTCTCTGTGCCAGCAGGTTAGAAAGCACACAAGGGCTGAAAATAGACTGATCGGGGGGAAGCGAGGGCTGCATGTAGTCCCACACTCTGGAGCTTGACAGACAACTTCTCTCTGTAGGGAAGAAAGAGTGTGCTGGTTCTGTGCCCTCGGCTCGGGGTCCACGGGTCAGTGAGCATGTCCGTGCAGAAGGGGAAAGACATGATTCACTCACTCCAGCCTTCAGTTTACTCCCTTACTCATTAATTTACTCACACTCGCACACATGCATGCTCGCAATGCAAGAACCCTACTCTTTCACAAGAAACCACAGCCTTTAAGTACACTGCAAACAGCCTTCAAGTACCCCCCCTAACAATACTCAAAAATTGTGTTTTTTTTCAGTTTATTTTAAATAAGTAGTTCAAACAAACAGCAAATATCATGTTTTGAGTATAGAAAAAAACAGCCTATTGTTAATATGTTAGCATTATCAGAGTTTGTTCACCTCAGAGTCGAAGTAATCATTAACTGTTAACAATGAAGGCTTTGAAATGGAGTTTTACAGCTTAAAGGGATACTTCACCCAAAAATGAAAGTGTCATTTGCTCACCCCCCAGGCCATGATAATTTAATTTCAGCCTAAAATCTTCAGGTATATCTAGAACAGAGTTGGGTGTAACGTATTTCACAGTAATGCCAGTAATGCATTACTTTAATCTAATAACACTTTTGGGTAAAGCAGTAATGTAACGGAATACATTTAAATTTAATATATCGTTCGTTTTAAAGACGAAATGCAGCCATACGTACTTCTGGCTACATAATTTGCGATCTCCAGAAATGAATATATGGCTACGTTTTCAGAATGAGCCTATATTGGCAGATTCTGAACGGATGAATGAAGGTTTGCAAATGTAAAAGCAAAATTACCATCTCTGGTGAACAAATTTTTGAGGGCAGCAGGACAGTTATTGACGACCACCTTTCCAACATCAGCATGGTGCCAGCAGGAAAAATTGTCCCACATCCCTCTGCAACCTGAAACAGAGAACAAAACAACAGTTTAAAACATCAAGATCTCAAAATATGCTTTAAAAAACATTGCAGCCACTGCACATGAGAAACCTGACACATGTTTGACAGGAATCAGAGAAAACGCTGAGCTCAAGATAAGATCCGCACTCATTTACCAATGTTTTAGGTGATGAGTGCAACTAAACAGGTTTTTGCTTTTAACTTAAAACCCCAAACAGTGCATAAATTACACCTCCAGTTTGACTTTGATTTAACATTAAAGGTACCACAGTACAACCAAAAAACCCAAAAAAGGGGAAAGTCACTGCGTCTCTTGAGACCTGCCCACAGGGACGAGTTGCATTCCGGCATCTATGGTCAGATAAGTGTTTTGTGAAGGTCTGGACATAAATAGAAAGAGGTTTGACAATGACATCACACCACCATTCATCATCATCATCTACAACTTCATACACTCTCATAAACACTGCAAATAGAAAATTACAGCAATGAGGGCACTTAGTTCTTTATTTGTATGAAAGGGACAGTTTATCCAAAAAGCAGACTTTCAGGCCAAACAGTTTTCAGAACAAAAGGTTTTTTAAGGTTGAGCCTATTGAGCTGAAACAGTGATGTTTAATTAGTGCTTTTCCAACGTCAGATTTCAGCTGTTCACTGTCTATGCACACAACATGGATGAACTACTGCAATTAAGCACAGCTCAAACACAAATAAACTGATCATCTATTAAGTGATAGGTCAATTCGCTTATACTGCATGTCATCTTTACCTTCTTGTTGTGAAGTACCATGCTAACCACTGAGCCACGCATGTCTTGAAAAAGATTTTAACCACCAATATTTGCATGTTTATGTTTTACTAGCATGTTTAGCATCATGTTTAGCACCAATTGGAAAGGAAACATTGATTTTCCGATTTAAAAATGGCATATAAAAATATAAGTAAATATGATTCAATAATTGTGTACTAAGTATATTTATAATATTCCACTGTACAAAATATATGGGCTGGGCCAAACTATTTTCTGTACTGAATGCTTGAATCAGACTGTAGATTGAATAATTTTGATACCATAAATATCTAAGATGTCAACTGAAATCTGACGAGTCGATGGTGGTTTATAAGGAACAGATGTGCTGCTTAATATTTTTGCATGAACAGAAAAGCATTTTCTTAAGGCTCTTTCACACCACACACATAAGCAGAGAAGAAGCAATGTATGCACATCATGTAGGGAGAGCAGAAGCAGCATGCAGTCATTTAGCATTGACACTGGATACACCTTATCGAAGCCAGCGGGTATTGCACTGATCAATCTATCTCTGTCTATATCTATATATAAACTTTTTTATTTTTACTTTTCACCTAAACCCACGGCAACTTCCCCATATGCTGTTTCCTTAGCCTGCAAGTCTATATTTGAACAATTATGCAGAACTGTTTGCTTCACACGCTCTATGAGTCGTCACTTTAGAATTATAAGGCTCTATCTGACATTTTTTGTCAAAATTTAGTTAATCACATGTTCTTATTAAATGACAACTTATTTACATTATGTCATGTTTTTGTACAAGTTGTTAACATTGTGCATCGTGCAGAGACCGTCCAAAGGGCATGTGCAGGATAAATTTTTTGAGGGGGGGGGGGGGGGGGGGCTGTTGTTGTCGCGCGCACTGTAAAGCGAGGTGGGGGGAGGTTGAGCGCGCGTACTCAAGAGCAGTGTTGTCGTGCGCCTACTGAAGGGCGGGACGGAGAGTGTGTCGCGTCGCGGGGGCACTTTTGATCATTTTGGAAGGGCACTTTCTATCTAAGACTAATAAGGGCATGTGCACTTCACAGGTTCACGTGTGTTCAGAATTCACGTGCCTGAATTCATATAAAGCATAGTTCAGTAAATATTACCATATTAATTACCAAAAAATAGCATCTGCACTGGACAAGATATTTAGCACAGCCTTCTAAGCTTAATTTGAACAAGAAAAAAATGTTATCCTAAAACATTAAATAAATTTTAAAGAAAGCAAAAAAAAGTACTTTCTAAAACATCAACATATTGTTACAACACCATTTTTTTTTCTAAATGAATAAGCAGACTAATTGTATTTCTTGGAATGTAATACTTTAATTAATGATCTGCCAGATAAAACCTTATAATTCCAAGCAGAAATTGACTTTTTAGGATTACAAGGTTCTGTCTGCATTTGCCCTGTTTATTTTAACCCAATTAAAGATAATTTTGATAATTTAAATTTAGAATACATTTAGGCTCTCTGTCATGTTAATGTATAAGAGATAACTGTTACACATATTGTTTGCTATGTGGAATGCAAAATGTTTGAAGCTCAATATCTCAAAATCATTTAGAACGCAGATAGAACCTTATCATTCCAATTTATTCCAATATATATTATATCATTCCAATATATATTATATATATATATATAATTAAACTAGTGTGCAACTTAAGGAAAGCGTATACTAAAATTTTTTTAATTTTGGTTTTGTGGTTGGGGCCCAGACAATTATTTGTTTTTTATTGCTTTTTTTTGTATTTTTTAATCACTTAAGTTTATTCCATTGACTATGTAAATATCAGTGTTAGTATTGCTATTTTGTTCTGTCATTCAATGTGTTTTTGGTCATTATTAATGCATTGTCATTTCAATTGAGCATAAGTGGCGCTGCAAAAAATAGACCCAGCGCTGAAATGATCACGGCACTGCTGCTTCAGCTCAGCTTACGCTCCATGCTCTGCTGTGCTGCTTTGGCATGCGGCAAGCAGAAAGCAGAAAGCTCTAATCTGTTCATTTATTAAATTGTTAATTTATTCATTTTTTCTTCCTGATTGCCAGGGAGCCATCAAAAATTATAACAAAGATATAGTAAACCTGATATAAACATCCAGAGCTTGCAGTTTGTCACTTTTCACGACACCTCATACTTTAGCTTCTCATCAAACCCTGACCAATCAAATGCTCTAAAGTGTCTGATATGTCCCGGCCCGCTTAAATCACTTCTTATTTACTTTCATTTGATGCGCTTCAGCTTAAACACTCTCACTGGCAGAGCTGTGATTAAACAAAACTCTATTTGGTAGTTTTTTTAATAAGGAGGAGCTTCTCTATGACCCTTTCTTTATGTTTCAGTTCAGATTACAATAAACATTAAATTTAAAAATGTACATTTCAAAGCACTTCATGAAACCTTCAAAAGAAAAACATGTTTTATATGTACTGTAAATATGTACAAGGATCAATATTGAACAATTGTCAATTGGTGAAGTTTGTTCCTTGCCACTGCCGCCACTGGCTTGCTTAATTGTGGAGCTGCGCATGGATGGATTTGCTCCTCAGTATTTGGACTTTCAGCAGTGAAATTAAACCACACTGAACTAAACTAAACTTAATTTCAACTCTGAAAACTGGACTGAAGCAGTTTCAATTTACTAGAACTTTTGTGTTAAGCTGCTTTGACCCAATCTACATTGTATAGCACTATAGAAATAAAGATGAATTGGTCAATATAATGCATTCTTGCTGAAAATGGTTAAACAGTACTGTGCTACTAATATTAAAGAAAGTCATGCAGGTCTGAAATCTCATGAAGGCGAGCACATAACGACAGACTTTTCATTTTTTGGCTACGATTGCTTTAAACAGCTGCATCTTCTCTAAAACAGCTGGTCAGTTCTGAGGGAAAATAAGGAATCTAAACGAAGAGAAAACATGTCACTCGACAAATATTGTTGAAGGAGAAGTAAACACTTCCTCTGATTGGTCAGTGCTCCGTCCACTGTGCCCTTTTATGAACCATTAGAAATGTGGGAGACTTTAAGCAGCCCGAACTGCTTTTTTTCACCCATTTCCAGAGGGACTCGATTCACCCTTTGTAACGGTCAAGACCTGTTTGCATTTGCTGAAAAATAATTACCATTAATTGGAACATCTGTGTGTTGATGGACATCTTCCAGCTGTCAACAAAACAAACCAAAGCAAAGCAATTTTTCCCACACTCCTGATTTTGTAGATGCAGAACAACGGCAAACAAGCTTCGAAAAATAATGAAAGGCTGTCTATGAATGATTTTGGCTTTTTTCTGTGAATGCAGTTGTTTAACATTGAAGTTGTAACATAAATAAACAAACGTTAAAGATAGACCCTTACAGTTATTGACCGCATGTTGTTAGATTACAGCCAGCAAACAGAGAAAAGCAGGAGAAAATATTCAGATCTCATCAGAAACAAACATCAGTTACACTGAGTCATCACTAAAACATCTGGGTTATTAAAAGCTTCAAAAAAAGATCTGAGAGCTCTCATCATAAAACCATGAGTATCTTTCATAGAAAAAAGAGAAATTTATATCCCTTCTGCTGCTGTTTTCATTAAAAGTTTGAATAGTTTTATATTTCAGTTTTAATTTTAGCTGAGGTGTTAGTCCTTTTGCTGTGTAGGCTCATTCTGGAAATGTACCGCTACACATTTCTGGAGTTTGCAAAATACATTTCAGGAATTATGTTTATTGCAGTTTGTTTTTGCGAATCCATCAGAGGCCACAGTGTACGCTTTTTGAGATCTCAAAATTCTATCACTAATGCCATTCGTGCCTGCTGTTCTTGTATAAATCCACCAGAGTTCATTGTCAAACGACTTACTGACTGAATGACTGACTGACCGATGGACAGATAACCCTACCCACCCTCTTCCCTAAACCCAACCGATAGTGTTGTAAAAAGCAAGGATTGACCCACCCACCTACTTCCCTTAACCCAACCGACAGTGTTTTGAAAAGCAATCCAGAAAAAGAAAAGCCCTCGCCTGATTTTTACCATGTTTTCAGATTTTGCCACATTCTCATCCTGTTATTTACTTCTTTATTACATTTTTTAGCAACTGGACAAACTGGTAAAAGCAAGAAAACCAACCATATGGAGGTAAGCGATCAGCAGCTAGCGCAAAATGGAATGGCATCATACCACCCCAGTAGAGTTAGTTTTTTTAATT